TTACAAGACTTCTAAATATGTTTTCTATATCTTGATGCGTGCATTTATTGCAAAGATATGACCGATCCAAATTTTGTCCCACTGTCTGGGGTTCGAATCCAGTTGCTAATGACTTCTCTCTCTTTGAAAACATGTATGGTAGTTTTTGCTGATTTTTAAAAGCTTTTTTCGTCAGAGATTCTGTAGAAAACCTTTCGACATATACTGAATATCTTTGCATCTATGGCGTCTCCATATGAGTGAAAAATTCTCGAGAGGGACATTAAACAGCATACAAACAAACAAATCTTTACATCTATAATATGTCCTTCTAAAACTATTTTAAGGATTTCATTCTTGTCTCCAAAGCTTGACTCATTCAAACGTTCTCACCCCTTTCGCAATAAAATCTTCAGTTGTTATCGCTACTCCTCCAAAAGCGTAAACCGTAGAGATTCCAAACCTTCATCAGTGTCTTTGACTCATTTAGTACTCTCTTCATTCTATCATTGCTAAAGCATTCTTTGGTCCCTTGTATGAGTTACTGCCCCTGAAAGTTTACGCTGCTTACATTTAATGAACTTTTTTTGAAACGGTGTATCCTAGAGACATGGGGCCAACTGCATCGGCATATTTGACTTTGACCTTGAAATATAGGTCAAGGTCAAAGGTCAAGGTCATTTAAAAACATAAGAAATTCCTTATATGTGTGTAAAATAAAGCAATTCACCAAATGACCTTGGAATTTGACCTTGACCTTTGACCTTGACATTGGGTCAAATGAAAAGTAAGGACATGCATCCAGCTCCAGTATCAGATAAAACAAAGAAAGTAAAGATTTCCTGGGGTTTTGGGGGGTTTTTTTGTAATGACCTTGACTTTTGACCTTGACCGTAAGGTCACAATCAAATTAAAGATGTGGAAGTAGTTACAAGTCTTAGTTTAAAAGAGGCATAAAATGAATAATTGACCCCCCCCCCCCTTTCTTAAACAAAATCACATCAACAACAACGTAGAATATTTCTGTAAAATTCAAACCAGACCTCGGATCGACACCATATTTGGTACAAATGTAGTATAGACCTCAGAGAAACTTTCTGGGGAGTTTTACGGTGAGTCTTATAAGTTTATAGAAGTCACGAAGTTTCACTGCAAAAACTACAAGTTCTGTTATGTTTGAAATTAAACTGCAGGTGAACGAAGAAATGATATAAACCTTTTATCGGCTATTTCTCCAGATGTCGTTAGTAGCATTTGATTCTCCTGATATGATACGACATTTTAATACCAAGCATTCTCTCTTACTTTTACATTTGGAATTTATTTGATTTTTATTTAAAATTAATCAGTTTCCAGAAATAGTGATTTTCGGTAAATTAAAACAATTCTCGCTTTCATTGTCGTGTTTCCCTTCTAAAAATACATGTTGGGAGTTTAATTTGTGCTACACATATTTAATTTAACCCAATGAAATGCTTATTTAAATGTCTTATATTTATTTCAGGATATTCAGTCAGAAATGTTAAAATCCGAACCCGATCTTTTAAGCTTTCAACAAAGCTATTTTCAAAAAATTCAGCATGCTCACAATATCGATGAATCGGGCTACAGTCCATTAATACATTTTCATTAGGGAACAGTGTTAACGTCTTCTCACGCACCCCTTCCCTTGTTATTTTATATACTGCTTGCAAGTTCAGGAACTATTTCCTTTTACGGAACTTCTTTCTTCCCCTACCAATTCTAAAAATACGCTTGTATTTATTTTATAGTCTTGAACAATTAACTTACCAATTTTGTCGCACTGTGTAGCGAAGTGGTTAGCGCACCTGCCTTTCAAACCGGGGGTTTTGAGTTCGATCCCAGCTGGAGGAACCCTTTTTTTCTTTTTTCTTTTTTTTTTTTTGCATTTTTTTGCATTTTACCTTTTTTTTTCCAGCCCAAATGACACGGAAACACTTAAAAAGGTGGAAAGGCCTCTAATTGTTCTCTGAACAATTAGTTTACTAGTTATTATTAAGGTCTTCCGATATATATGATAAGATATGAATATGAAACTTGCTGAGGTGATAGAACATCAAATGTAGATATGGTGATCGACCATTTTTTTGTCGTTCGTACTTCCGGTCGCAAACGGAAGTGAATTCAAAAATGTTAAATTTGCAACTTTTTTGTTTTTCAATATTTTTCTCTGGGATTTCCAAGGTTAATAGAGAGTCTTCTAAGAGTTCTAAGTATGTTTTCATCATTTTGATTGATGCATTTATTGCAAAGATATGACCGATCCAAACTTTCTCGTATTGTTGCGGGTTCGAATCCTGCTGGGGCGGGAGATTGTTTCTCTCTTTTTTCAGTTGTAAATGATATTTTTCTCTGTGAAGACATGTATGATAGTTTTTGCTTATTTTTTAAAGCTTTTTTAACAGAGATTCTACAAAAATCCTTTAACAATCATGATCTATGTTGAAAGACTGTGTTACATAAACGGAAACAAAAAATACCTTCAATAAAGTATTAAATGAAGTGAGATAGCATAGCGATCTGGAGAAAAGTTCGATCGGAAGACCACTTGTTGCCCTAGCAACAAGAAACGCATTTAATTTAACAAGTAATCCAACTTATACCAATAGCTCCCTTTCTAAGGAGGAAGTTGTTCAGAATCATATGTCAGTTTTGAATATTTTAATATTCCCAACAACCAACATAAATTTGAATTACCATATCTACATTGGATTCAGAAACTTCATAAAAATCCTTACAAACAAAGATACAAAGCGGGTTCCAGTAAAAGTTCTACCAAGCCTCTTTCTTTACTCCTCACTAAAATATTAACAGTAGTGAAGGGAAACTTTAGGAGTACTGTGCAACAATATATTCCATAAATGGTGTAAATTAGATGTTGATACTTAAAAATTCCAAGGAACTTTTTGAAAATTTGAAATCACATTGGATAAGGTATGGTAAATGCCGAATCTGGCCTCTTATTTGATGTGAAAATCAGAAGACAGGTAAAACTGTGATAGTTTGTAGTTAAGAACTTAAAATGATGCTTGTTTTAAAACCAGCTCTAATTTTGATTCAAAGCTTATACGAAGGCCACAAGAGGGTGCAGAAGAGCATTTTTCCGAATTTCCTCTATTCTGGTGGAATTCCGTCAAATTTGAAATACTTTTCACTTCGGGAAACATAGGGCACAAGCTTGCCTATCTGAGATTTTTATACACAAGATACATCTGATACTAGTGTATGAAATACGTAAATTTGGTAGATAGGCAAGCTTGTGCTCTATGTTTTCTGAAATAAAATGTGCTCTTAAATCGATGAAAAATTGAATAAAAATGAGAAAACTCGGAAATTGACATAATTTCAGACCTTCCTGTGACCTCTGTGTACCCCTTAACGTAGAACCAATACCAATTTTTTGGCAGGGATGACAACAGGTTTTTATTGATAAACTGTTGCATCATTCTAAATGACACCCCAAAATGGGCCAAGAAGGGGTCTTAGCCAATCTTGTCCCTCTACCAAAATCAACAACATAAAAACTTACGACTTTTCAACTTTACATACAGCCATTCCCCACGATAAATTAAAGTTCAGGCTTTTTGAAATCATTGACAGCTGCTTTTTTAATAAAAATGGAACTTGTGAATTTACTTACCTTTACTTACCAATGGTCATTTGCAAAATTATTTTGTTAAAAACAATCTGATTGTACACACAAATACACTGACGTTGATATTAGGATGCTTCAATTTCTGATTGACAATGTCTATGTTGTTTTTGGAGACCAGGTATTCCAACAATCTATTGGAATCTCCATGGGTACACTTGCTGTGGCCTTCAACTCGACATTTAGATATATCGACGACGTATTGTCAATTAACAATGGTTATTTTCATTCTTATGTTAATAGAATATATCCCGGTGAGCTTAAGATAAAAGATACTACAGTATCTGACACATCTGTTTCATATTTGGATATTTGTTTAGAAAAAGACGTAAATGGTAATCTAACAACCAAGCTGTATGATAAACGTGATGCTTTTAAAATTGCAATCGTCAACTTCCCTTACTTATGCAGCAATATACCTTCATCACCTGCATCCGAGATTTATATCTCCCTGTTCATTCTATACACAACAGCATGCTCTACGTAGGAGCAATTTCTAAAACGAGGTAAGTTATTGACAAACAAGTTGATGAAAGAAGAATATCAGTAGTCTCGTTTAAAGCCGTCATTTTGTAAGTTCTATGGTCGATATAATGACCTTGTTAGCAAACACAGTTTATCATTAAGTCAAATGCTCACTGACGTTTTTGTTACTAGTTGTTAGGCCATTATTTACACAATGAATTGTCGACGGATTTTCCGTTATTTCCCGATCATGACAAGGAGCACACGGAGGGTGTAATCGGTCGGCAGGGAATGCTCACTGAATTGTCGACGGATTTGTCCGTTATTTCCTGATTATGACAAGGAGCACACGGCGGGTATGACCGGTCGGCAGGGAATGCTCACTCTTCTATGGCATCTGATCCCACCTCTGATGTTTTAGAGGTCTGTTTTGCTCTCCTCCAAAATTTGTATTGTTTTATGGACTTTTGAGCTTGAATACTGTTCGTTATCTCCATACATTTCATTGACATTTGTTCAGCGGTTTCAGAGGAGAAGATGAAAATGATCAAATTTTAAGGCACGTTGAACGTTGACAGAAAAAAACCGATAGCAATAGGTCACCTGAGTGACTCAGTGACGTAAAAATCTAACAACTACAGCGTGCTTGGAAGGATTTAAGTCTCCAGAAGTAAACGGTCTCAAAGGGGTAACATTGTGTAATCTTAACATATTTCCAATTTTATCAGTTTCGTTTAAACATTTGCATTATGTCACTTTGACACACAGTGTATTTGTTAATCGTATAGATATGTCAAAGTACTTCCGTGTTCCTCTTTACCAAACTCCTCCCAGCGATTATTTAATAAACTGCTCAATGCAAGGAAAATGTCAAACCAGTAAAATGAAGTTCGTGAAAACATATCTATTATATATTAGCGTTTTTATAATAGAATCTGTTTATACCAGCCACTTTAGAGGGGGTACTATTAGTTGGAACCCAACAGGAAACGGGAATGAGGTGACATCTTGTTTTATGGATCTTTATGAAATCCATATTATGCCGTTTACAAATTTTTAACAGAAAAAGTACATAGTTTGAAAATCGGTTTTGGATTTTTTAACCATTGAATTTATTTGACCAACTACATTGATTTCTGCCTATACAATACTGAATTCATACTATACTTTTGCATAATGTCAATCATAATAAAATATATCATTTGAAAAAAAAGTGTTTTAAAAATATTACTAAATTTGAAATGACACGTAACGCAGTGAAAATTAAAAACTACCTGATTTTAGTAAAAAAAGTTGGTTGTATTTGCCGTAGGTTCAATTTTCATTCAAATTGGGATGGGCTTACGGAACAGGTCCAGGATGTACCCCTTCACGGATTGGACAGTTTGTAACGGGACAGAGTTCGGAGAACTGGATATGTACATCTGGGTGTACCTCACAAGTAGCTATTGCAAACATCAATTACATCTGCACAGGCGCTAGTACATCGGAGAACTGGGAACAAGGGGAGAGAACTTTTACTTATACATTTCCGGGAATTGGTCCATACACAATTGAGTAAGTATCAAAAGCTTACTATTGCATTATGTGTTATTTTTAAATTGAAAATGCCCAGTTTCTTCTTCGGACTTTGAACTGAGTATAATATTTTTAAAAAGGTTCTCAGGAGGTGATTGGGTTTCATTGGATTACGGGTCTCCGGGTAGCTGGACAATAGGAACAGTTGTTTACTTAGCAAAACGTAGTGATACACAAAGACCAAATTCAAGCCCGGTAACAACAGGAAAACCCACGTATATGTATGTTCAAAATAATATACAACTCTTACGCAAATACAATCTTTATTTTCCTATTCACATATATGTTTACCAAGGAAACTTTTCTGTAGCCCGCAGAAATATGGCTGAAATATTGCTGACATTGCATTAAGCACCTATCAATCAATCAACTAATCAATCAATCAATTTTTTTGTAGCTTGCATGAACTTTCATTAACACTACTTTCAGAAATTCTTGTACGCATCAATGCTAATTTCCCTGACATTGTTTTATTTTTCTCTGTAACATTTAAACCGTATGTCGTGTTATCAAAATGAGCAATAATGTTGGAATTATTTGATGTTTAATTAACGATATTTTTGATGGAAAAAATGAAAATAAAAATGTTTAGACAATCTCAACTGAATCTTTTAGAGTTCAGTATGGATGCCAAACTAAAATTCATATTCCAGTCGTTGACGGTGATGGCGATAATGTAAGGTGTCGATGGTCTAGAGGATCAGAATGTAGTTCTATATGCAATGCACTTCCTGCGGCTTCGATTGACAGGGTGAGTATTAGCTGTAACTATGCAGTATATTCCAAGAAACAGATCTGTTTCTGTATTTGAATTGTTTGATTTTCACCCTTATATTCAGTAAGAAAACGAGAAAGATAAAAATGAAAATATACAAGATACAGATAATATGTAATCACATATTGTTACATATATGTATAAAAGGAGAAAAGGGTTATTGTATTTCAGTTTTCCCAATGAATATGATGTTGCAGAATAAATGTGATGTTCTTTGGTGCATATAGTTTTGACTATTTTTTTTTCTATAATTGCCGCTTTAATTTTATCACTGCCAAACAGTGATTTATTTTCTTTTTGTGTCTCAAGAAAGTTCAAGAAACTCTTGCATGCATTTATTTTCTGCGATGACATGGCCAGTAGTTATATCAAGCTTTTTCATTATACAACGTTATATTCTTTGGCAAAATATTTGGTTGTAAGTGATCTAAGTAGTAAAATGGATATGTGTATCTGAGAAAAAATAGTTTTGCAAGGGAAAAATTTATTATGTTGATTATCATTAAACAAAGCCTAGAAAAACTGGTAACTAACACGCACAAGGTATTGTACCTGTATGCAAGACACCATTTTTGTTTTCAAGAGATTGACTGTGCATATTTAAAAATGAATATTAGATATATTATACACTTTTACTTTGCTAAAATAATTTTTTTTTCTTTAGCGCACCTGCACCATTTCATTTCCAGCAAGCCACACACGAAATGGGACTTTTGCAGTCGCAGTATCTGTGGAAGATTTTCCAAAATCAACAACTACTATTGGGGCTAAAGTGTATACGCCAAATACTCCCATGTCGACCGTTAACATACAGGTAAATTGTCATCTGGTAATAACCTTTTTATTTTGTAATTATTCCAACCATCTAATGATACAATGTATATATTTTTCCATAATACTCTTTGTTATAATCATCATGAGAATAGAAGCCAATACCGTCCGAATATACAATAATATCAATTTTTAAAGAAACGAGTTTCCCATAAGAATACTGAAATTCATATTGTGGTTTGTTTCTAAACAAAATGTCGATAACTCAAAATGTGTATCATAATCTTTGAAACAAATGTTATCAAGAAGGGGTAGTATTGTATGCATGAATATATGTATTGAGGAAATTATAATTCATCGCCGACAAATGTATACTGTAGGATTTTTTTTTTACTTTGATAAGAGACCGTTCACGGTAGCTCAATCGGTAGAGCGCTCGCTTCGTACTCGGAGGGTCGTGAGTTCGAATCTCGGTCGCGACTGACCTAAGTCGATAAAAAATAGGTAACAACTGTTTCTTCGCCATGCGCTCGGGACTTTGAAGTGAAAGTTGCGGGTCCTTCGGATGAGACCTTAAAAACCGAGGCCCCGTGTCAGGGCAGTCGTTGGCACGATAAAGATCCCTCACTGCTCAATGGCCCTGAGTGCCGAGTAAAAATCAAAATTTGAAGCCCTTCACCGGTATATGGTGACGTCTCTATATGAGTGAAAAATTCTCGAATGGGACGTAAAACAACATACAATCAATTACTTTGATAAGAAAATGTCTTGAAGCACAAGAAATGCAGAAAAACAAAAATGTCTAACGAGTTTGTGGCAACGCACTTTGAAAAAAAATCAAAGCAAGTTAAAATTGGGGTAAAATCAACGCATTTTGAAAAAAAAATTCAAAGTGCGTAAAATTTTGGGACAAATTAAAAACAAACAAACTATAAACAGACCACCACAATATATAGGAAAATTATTTTCAATGGAAAAATCATAATTGCTCCCTTTTCCCTAAGAAAAATGCAATGCTTTAAATCACTTATCGACCCCTACATCTACCGAACTTAAAACAGACTGGATAGAATAAAAAAAATGGTCTATTAAAATAATCATTCCTCAACATTTCAAAAAGACCCATTTCCCTTTTATAACATTTACGAGAACTTTGGGACCAGAACAACCCCTAGAAATCTTTAAAACGTCTATATCTCGGATCCTAACGTGACCTCATCACCTAAAAGTTATCCAACTAGGTTTAGATAATTATTTATCATACCTTATATTTTGCAAGAATATTGACCAAGCTATGCAAATTTTTTCAAGGTGCGTTGATATGATCGATATTAACGCACTTTGAAAAGTTTTTTTTTTCAAAATGCGTTAACGTGGTCCCAAATTTAACGCACTTTGAAAAAAAGTTTTCAAAGTGCGTAATTTTTCATAGTGCGTTGTAACAAAGCTGTTTTTCATTCGGGTGTGTGTTGTGTTTCTTCTTACCCTTTTTTAACATATTCTTGACTTCTTATAATCTGATACCCCAAAAATGAATAAGCAAGAGTCAAGTGAACAATCCTGATTGAATACTTCTCCTCTACCCTCTTATCAATCTGTTTTTTTTTTTTTTTTTACTGTTGGTTTAATCCTTTTCAGCCAATGATAACATTAGGTATACTTTGACATGTTGTCAGTTTCTAGTTAAAACACCCATTCTTCCCGGAAACTGTAATGACAAACCACATTTTGTGAACCCTACACTATCTGAAGGGTCAACAATCCGGACTAACATTCTGCAGATACTCAACATTCAGTTTTATGCTACAAACAGCAGAAGGTAAGAATGCTCTTTTAATTATGACCTTTCATGTTTAGCCTTAATATCTAGATTTGAAGTTTCATTAGTAAGAACTCATCAAACAAATGAAAAGGTATGTATTTTTAATATCAATGTTCATTGCCCAAAGAATAACAAAAATGGATATCACCTCCCCTGCCGGTATGACTCATACACCTCTTCAGTCTATGACATCTCAACCAAGAATTGTATATGTCTCCCTTTCGTGGACACCTCAACAGAACCAAGTTGGACCTCACATTGTCTGTGCTCTGGCTGAAGACACTTTAGGGTAATTTTTCATCTCCTTTTGCTAATTTAACAATATTTAAACATTAATAAAATACAATATCATTAAAAAGAAATTAGATTTTAAAGATTTTATGAAACCAATAAAATTACCTTTTTATTGTTATGACTTATTTAGAAGATACCTGTAGTAAAATTTGTTAGCAATTTGAGTAATCACTTATTGTTCTTTATTCTTACTATTAGTCCTTAAGTAAAAAACAAGATAATATAATCAACCAAACAAGCAATTTTATTAGTTGCCCTGATCATTACTTATCATTACTACATGTATGAGTTAATATTAGGGATGTCAACGAATATTCGAACATTCGAATATTCATTTGATGCGTTAATATTCGAATATGAATTTAAGATTCGAATATTCGGTGTTTTTCATATTTCACAAAAAAGAGTGAGGAATTATCCCCGTTATTTTTTTATAACGAGCGATCATTTTCGATCGCCTGATTTCTTTCTTACTTCTTTCATACTTTCTTATCTAAAAGATATTCTAAATTTTTTTGATTCGAGTAAGGTAAAATTAAATTTAATTTCAATTAATTGATTATCTCGGGTTGAATATATTCCTATATTTTAAAATCATTATCGGGACGCTAATGACCTATGAAAATAGTCTATGGAATTGTTTGTTTATATTTTCAAAACATTGTATCAAAGAGATAATATCTCTTATTAGGCAGGTAATTGTAATTAATTACATGTATTCAGATATGAAGACTTAGAGTTAGCGACAATCTTGCCCCTGCTTAGACGACTGGTTCATCAGTTTGAGCTTGTATTGATATTCTTTGTTAAAATTATATTTCGGTTGTACACGCTTAAATCAATTAATTATTTCAAACATTGACAAATATCAAATGTAGAATTCCTTATTATACACATTCAAAGCTCTACATCCAGCTTTACTTCCAAAAACCGACGCAAAACCTGTCATGAGAGTATGATGATGCACATTTAAAATAAACCAGATTATATCTATTTTATCGAATATTCGAATATATTCGAATACTTTCATTGAATATTCGAATATGAATTATTGACAAAATTGACATCCCTAGTTAATATATAACCTATCAATAAAATGGATATTGTTATTGTTCCTATCTTCAGTTTTTGCTTTGCGTCACCTGTCATTATTAGAACGATTTTTTTTTAAAAGATACAATAAAGAGTTTATATAATGATGCAAGTTCGACAACCAATTGAACATACTTTACACGTGTACATTAACGGAATCTCGATGGTATTTTTTTTTTTTTCAAAAAATAGCTTTAAAAGTTCTTTATAAAATATCGTATGGTCACATATAAAATTATCAGAAATTGGTTCTCTATTCAAGTTTTTAAGGAAATATATTAGAAAGAAATTGAACGCTCTGTTTACGATAATAGAGGGCTAAAATGATCAAAAATACTTTATTTCTAATTTACCTGAATAAATACACAGACCCTAATACAGTGAGTAATCATTCCTTCTTAAACTCAAATAAACACTTACACAGCTAAAAACCTATGTATTTATTTTAATATTTACAAATTTCGGTATATAGAAAACTATGTCTTCTTCTTGAATCCATTGTGGTCTTTTATTTTTAGTGTTTAGTTTCAGTAATTTCAGTTTAAACATCATTTGATACACTTGACAGGAAAACAAGCGACTCAAGGTGCATAAATATCAACGTGAACGGTAGGTGTAATAACTTGAGAAATTATGTAAAAGTTAGATTGTAATGTTCTTGACAAAGAAATGTACTATGAATCATCTCATATTTAAAGAAAAGAAAAGGAGAAATGTTAAAGTTTGAATGTATTCTTGTTTTATTTAATGAATCGTAATTTCAGACGTAAGCCCATGTGTAAGTTCTCCCTGTAAAAATGGCGGGACATGTGCACGACAAGGAATAACTCAGAATTACAGGTGTATATGTTTACCTGGCTACACGGGACACAGGTGTGAAACAGGTATTAACGTATTAAGAACAATGGTTTTGTAGTGCTGGATCAAGACCCGGGATCAATTATTTAGAAATGTAATACATTAAATAAAAATCATTTTGAAATTTTCTCTACTACAAATACCATTAAAATTACTGTCAATCAGAAAAGTAATTAAGTCAGCTACAATTACTTTGCTTAAATAACGAATTACATTATACCTTACATTTAATACGAAAATAACAAAATTCTGAAAACCACACAAATCATTTGTTAATTGTTGTAATTCACTTTCTCAAAAACATAATTATGTCATAGACACTTGTAAAATAGCTTATACAGGCTGTTTTTTTTTTTTTCGATAACACATAAAACATTGTCACATAATTTTATGACTTATCAAGGAAAGCATAATGTTAATGAGAGATAAAGCTGGTAAAAACAATGAAAAATAACAAAAAAAAAATAAAAAGAAAATAAAACTGGTCTCACCCACCGTGTGCTCTTTGGCACGATAGGGCAAACGGAAAAATCCATAAATAATTCAGTGTGAAAATAATGGCTTAACAATTTGAGTGAAAATCGTCAGTCAACATTCGACTTCATGATAGATTCAATAGTTTTACCTGAACGTGTAGAAGTGGGCTACTGGAGTACTGTGTCTGTTGTGTGTCATCATCAAATACAAAAGTTTAATGTTAAGATTAAATAAGGATGAACACACATCACACTTTAAGTCATTGTTATCATCATACTTATTGTGTCTTCTTCAATAATCTTTTTGTTTCCCTCATTTGATGTGGATATCAACAGTCTCGTTTGAAGTCACCTTTTTGCAAGTTTTTCGATCGATACAATGACCTTGTCAGCAAATACAACCTATCATTGAGTCAAATGCTGACTAACGTTTTTCATACTGATTGTTAGGCCATTATTTATACACTGAACTATCTACGGATTTTTCCGTTTTTTTTTTTTTTTTGTTTTTTTGTTTTTTTTTTGTTTTTTTTTTTGTTTCACGACATGACAAGGAGCACACGGCGGGTGTGACCGGTCGGCAGGGGATGCTCATTTCTCCATGGCACCTGATCCCACCTATAAATTTTGAGGTCCCTGTTTGCTCTGCTCCAAATTTGTATCGTTTCATGGGACTTTCGAGATTGAATACTGTTCGTTATCTTGACATGTCCTGCGCTCATGATTAGAGTTCCTTTGATTAACAATAATGATGTAGACGAATGCCATAGCAATCGATGTCAATATAGTGGCTATTGTACACATCTAGTAAATCAGTTTAAACCATATATATATATATATATATATATATATATATATATATATATATATATATATATATATATATATATATATATATATATATATATATATATATATATATATATATATATTACGAATCACGAAGTCACAACAAGAGATCAAAGTTTTACATGGGTAAAGGTAAATAGAAGAAATATCTTTAAAAATCTTCTCAAAAACAACAAAAGTTAGTCATATAAATGCATATTAATACATAAGTATCCTCAGGTAGTGTATATTTAAGTTTGTTCAAATCATGATCCCCTTGGGGTAGGGTGTGGGACTACAACAGAGGATCACACTTTTACATAATTTTTATAGGGAAAAAACACTTTTAAAAGCTTCTTTCAGGAACAGCAAAGTTACAGTGTATGATTAGTCATATTAATATGGAAGCATCGTGGGGTATTTTAGATTTAAGTTTGTTCAAATCATCATGGTTGGGACCACTTATATAGTTAAACTTTTCAATACTTATGTGATTTTTGGTCTCTCCGGCCAAAGTGCTCAGGCGAGTGACCAATGGGTCTCTTGGGTCTCTTGTTTATTTAATTTGACTGTGGAGTACATGTACCCCGTCTTCCTGATGAATACATAGGGTTCACGGCGGCTTTGACCAGGGACAGGGGATGCTCACTCGCTGTAGGCACCTATCCAACCTTTGATGTTTCCAGGTGTTTTTGCTCATTTTACGATTTGTTTTGTTTACTGGATTCGTGATATTGATCTTTGTTCATTATCTTAAACCTTTACATTTAAATGTTCCTATGTACCTGGGTTCACAGACCAAACATGCCATACAGGTATCAACTTTCCTATTACTGATAAGAAAGAAGAGACCTTTTTTTATTGAATTGCAATTCGTTTGTACAGCCCAGTCTTCTGTTATTTTAAAACAGACATTGACGAATGTGCAAGTTTTCCGTGTCAGAATAATGGATCCTGTATAGATGATATAAATCTGTTCCGGTGCTCATGTGTTCCAGGTTTTACAGACACCTGCTGTGAAATAGGTATTTTGCGCATTTTTAGAAATGATTGTATTTTTCAGGTCCTCAAAAATATTCATTGATGATCACAATACATATAGATCTTTGATTTGATTGATTTTTTTCCCAGATATCAATGAGTGTGCCAGTAACCCCTGTTTGAATTTGGGTACCTGTAACGATCTTATTAACCACTTTACTTGTTCTTGTCGAGCGGGGTTTACCGGGAATTTATGTGATATAGGTATGTTACGATGAAATAATGAATCAAAAATTTTAAAATTCACTTACTTTTTATGATTTAGCTCTTCAAAAAATCAGTAAAAGAATCTTTGAGCACTTCTTGAATTGTTAGTTTTTATATGCAAAAATTGTAAGTTGAAATCTTAAATTCTAAGTCTGCAAACTGAGGTTAATTGATTTTTTACATGAAATCAAAAGAGATGTTCTCCATAAAAATATATATTTTTGTACAGATATAAACGAATGCGCTCCAGGTCCCTGTTCCCTTATTTTTGACTGTGAAGATCGTGTGAACGATTTCTACTGCAGGATAAATAAATGGAAACTTTCTCTTATAATCTGTAGTATTCTCTTAGTAAATCTGCTGGTTATATCTATTCTCATATACTTATCAAAAAGACGAAAATTCGGGAAAGTTGACCATTCTTGGTAAGAATTTTCATCGTTTATTATAAAATCAATTAAATTAAAATATAACGAGGGGGATGTTTAATTATCATCTTGTATCATCTTGCATAATATAGGTTGTCGAGTTTCATTGATGTGCGTAAACCAGATACACAGCCCAGAGCTTTGTAAGTATTTTTTTTTTCTTTTTTTTTTTTTTCTTTTTTTTCTTTTTGGACTGAAATAATTGAATTATTTATTCATGTTGTCTTTCATGTTTCATTATAACTATAGATTCAAAGGCGAAGTTCCATTTAAACGGTTCTAATAAAAGAAGAAAATTAAAGATACTTTCTCCATCGTTGGAAAATCAAGAAAAATACGAAATTTATTAAATTTGTTTGAATATCTTTAAATATATTTAAAGGAGCATATAGATTAATTCGCATATTATAATACATATTGCATCTTTATAAACAATTGTTGAAATCCATATTTAAATTATTGCAAGACACATTTCAATTATTGTAAGTTTGCTAATAAATTGATTCTATTATCCAAAATATTTTGTTCCAATTTTTTTACCAGACATCACTTCTTTATTAAAATAAAAGAAACGTGCCCACTTTAATCGAACAATAAAAATTACTGACGTCAAAGAAGATTGAGAAATCTGACCTATGTGTTGAGCATAAAAAGAAAATCATGCTACCTAGACCGTAACCATCAATGATATGTTAGCGAACGCTGATTTGACTACTATCAATAAAGTGGAAAATTCCTTCCAATTGTCCTAACCGTATATGCGCAGAAGGACATGGTATTACTTTTTTTTTTAAATAAAGAACAATGGATTTCTCAAATGTAGAAAATTCAAATACAGTTATTTTTACATTTTCAAATAAAAGGGATGAGTATACCAGTAGTTACTTCTATGGTGCTAAAGTCCACACTTTATATTGAGTAAAATATTATGTAAGTCTTACAAAAAAGTAATCCATGATTTAATTCTATTTTCCTTAACGAGGTTCGCTCCTGAGCTTTTGAGCAGATTTTTATCTTAACCTATATTTAAAAACTTCTGCATAATGTTTTAATTCTTACAATAAATTTGGATTCTACAATGCCAATTCAACTATATTCAGTTTAAACTCCATGATTAAATTCCATACCAAAAGAATTAAGTGAGGAACTATATTTTGTGGCGGAAGGTTTTTTAGAAGAAAATGATCTTTTTTTCTTTAATAAGTATTTAAAGTATGTTAAGTTTGGATTCCTATTTTTACATGCAGTCTGCACACAGAATTATTTTGTGCAGTGAACTGTTTTATACTGGTCCTAAATTATATATTTAATAAACTGTCATGAATTCTATCATCATATTGGACAAATAAAGTAAAGATATTGTGAAAATCAAGAAAAAAATAGCCCTAATTTAAGCTTAAAATTGGCACTATTTTAGTAATATCTAAAAATTAACAACACAGTCCCCCACTTTTAATTTTCTTTTCTGAATATATAAGATACTTTTAACCATTCTTCTTAATTTCAGTAAAATGGCATTACTTTCAAATGATTTTTTTGCTTGTTAAATTGTTGATGCCAGAAAAATGAATTTTTTGAGTGCAAAAAGGTCAAATAATTGAACATGCGGAGTAATTTGAAAATTTTTTCGTTGTCACAAATTTTAATGTGTCTATTCAAGATGAAATAAGACTGTGTTTGTTCTCAATATTTATTTGAATAAAAAATATTGGAGGAAAAACTTTGAAAATTGATTTATGTGTAAGACGTTTTTACAGTGCAAAAAGGTCAAACTAAATGCTCTGTAGCGCCAAAAGAAGCGCATTGACCCCCATTTTTTGTTTTGATTTTTAATTAAGCTATGTGTATAAATTCTAAAAATATACTTGATAAAAAATTCTCATTACTTTTGATGGCAGGATCCAACCTCCTTAAAGTAACTGAAGTTCAAGTAGTCTGTTTCCTCACTGTTAAAATATATTTGTGAAATGGAAGTGCACCTTAAATTTTATTTTCCCGTGGCTTGGTGGCGATTTACTTACTATAGTAAATCAGACACAATTGAACTTTATCATCAGTATATCGTCAGGTATAAAAAAGGTAGAGGGAAATGTCGAATAAATAAACTTAAACGAGTTAATCTTTCTCTGAAGGAGGCATTACTGACACCTCAGGACAAAAATCGATTTCGAATGTCGTGTACATTTCTCTAACAATTTTCCACTTTCACCCACTTGAAGCACTGTAGAAACAAGTGGCACTCTTCAAACACTGTAGTATCAAATTGTTGACAACTTCTTGAAACAAAAAAATGAATAATTGAACGGTTTATAAAACAATATTTTGACTCAATAAATTCTTTTTTCATTCGGTGAATTGACTCTGAACTGTGTATAAAGAGCCTTACTTAGAGTAAATACCCAAATAAATAAATAATACCAAGGGATTTTGTTTCACAAGCTGAAATTTAAAGTTTCCTTGCATTAATGCTCATAATGTCATAATTAGTTAGTCGACATTCAAATGAGCATTTTAAAGACTACGATAAACGAGATGAATAAACCATATTCGCTGTCTCTGTGTTGTTTTGTTTATTTTCATCGACTTGCAGAATTTGGGACAGCGTTATACATTTGGTTACAAATTGGCATGATAACGTAACGTATATTGACTATTGGTAAACTGATGTCGTGCGACAATGGTTTAAATGGATATAATGATGGTTTTGCATGAAGTATTATTTTTTTTGTAGACAAACGCAGTGTGTTAAGGACGCACCTATATCAGAATTAGGCGAATTTACACTTTTTTGTAACATTTAACATTGATGAATCGGGAAAGTCATGGATAAAATATTTACTATTATTATCCATCTTATAGACGTCAATGAGAGGCAGAAGCACTCCACTATGACGTCATCATGTGAAGTCTATAAATAGAAAGATATGCCTTAATTAAAAAGTGAAAAGTTCAATACTTCCCCGGGGATGATTCATTTCTGTTTACAAAAATAATTATGCAAAAATACCTCTGAGCCATGAAAAGCATTGCTAGAATCCTACTATCCTGTCACAGAAATAAATATTTCACACTTTTGCATGAAACCTTAATAAACTTGTTAAATTTTGTACATATAATCGAATAATTGTCATCAATTCATGTAGAGCACACGATTTTTGTAGCACTTTCCAAGCACTATAGAACACAGACTTTCGATAGAAACAAAACTTAGGTCACAAAATATGCGGTTCTGTAACGAACTTTTGCATCTTTGTTGTTAGGTAGGACAGAGAAAAGGCTGATCGGGATTTCAAAACAAAGCCTGTCTTCATTATACGAAAAAAAAAAAATAATAAATCAGCATATCTGACTTGTCAAAGTTTTTTTTCATTAATTATTATTTAAATATTTCGGATTTCCAACGTTTCGACATGAGCATCACTGAAGAGACATAATTTGTCGAAATGCACATCTGGTGCATCAAAATTGGTACCGTATATGATTAACATTATGACCCCTGGGTCGAGTCCTCTGCTGGTGGACTGTTAGTCCCCGAGGGTCTTTACAGCCCAGTAGCTATGTACTTCGGTACTAGCTTGAAAATAAGGATATATCTTTAATTGCCGTGGTAAAATTCAGATATATATTTCAAAATTAAGGATTATCTCCCTCATGCATAGCACTGATTCTTCGACGTATTTGGCTCCAGTCCTTTGCACCCCCCTTTTTTCAGCTCTTCAAATTTTTTTTTAGGTCACCTGAGTCACTCAGGTGACCTATTGCTATCTGTTTTCGTCCGTCGTGCGTCGGTCGTGAACTTTTGAACATTTTCAGCTTCTTCTCTTGAACCACTGAACCAATTTCAACCAATTTGGCATATATCATCAATGGGTAAAGGGGTACAAAAATTGTGAATTTCGTGGTCTCTGTCCCCCTGGGGCCTGAGGGGTGGGGCTAAAACCATCAAAATTAGTGCTATCTTTAAAAATCTTCTTCTTTACTCCTGGGCATCAAGCAGTCAAACTGTTGGAATGATTGTAATAAGCATTGAGCCCTCTACCAAAGTCGTGAAATTCGTGGCCCCAGGGTCAGGGGTTTTGGTGCTAGGGCGGGGCTTTATAGATCATATAGTAAAAGTGCATTATTTCTTTGAAAATCTTCTTCTCTACTCCTGGGTATTATTGAAACGAATTGAATACATATTTATGATAAGCAAGGGTGACTCTACCAAAATTGTGAAATTCATAGCCCCAGGGTCAAGGGTTGTGGTGCTAGGGCGGGGCTATATACATCATATAGTGAAAGTGCATTATTTCTTTGAAAATCTTCTTCTCTACTCCTGGGTATTATTGAAACGAATTGAATACATATTTATGATAAGCAAGGGTGACTCTACCAAAATTGTGAAATTCATAGCCCCAGGGTCAAGGGTTGTGGTGCTAGGGCGGGGCTATATACATCATATAGTGAAAGTGCATTATTTCTTTGAAAATCTTCTCTACTCTTTTGGTATTATTTAAACAAATTAAATATATTGTTACGATAAGCAACAGTGACTCTACCAAAATTGTGAAATTCATAGCCCCAGGGTCAGGGGTTGTGGTGCTAGGGCTGGGCTATATAGATCATAGAGTGAAAATGCATTATTTCTTTCAAAATCTTCTTCTCTACTCCTGGGTATTATTGAAACAAATGAAATACATAGTTATGATAAGCAAGAGTGACTCTACCAAAATTGTGAAATTCATAGCCCCAGGGTCAGAGGTTGTGGTGCTAGGGCGAGGCTATATAGATCATAGAGTGAAAGTGCATTATTTCTTTGAAAATATTCTTCTCTACTCCTGGGTATTATTGAAACAAATGAAATACATATTTATGATAAGCAAGAGTGACTCTACCAAAATTGTGAAATGCATAGCCCATCATGTTTTGATTGTTATTCAAAATGTCAAAACTGACCATTGCTATGGGTAGATATGTGATATTGCTGCTGAATGAACATTACAGTGATTTTAAAAAAAAGTATCACGTGACAGAGCTAGCGCCGGTCATGGATTTCTAAGCTCCTGCTTCGGACCGAAAAAAAGGCTATATATCTTCCAATATATGTGTGTAATGTGTATATTTCTTGGAGTAAGTATTGAAGATTGCTGAATTCTGGGGGTTTTTAGCCCGTTTGCTTGCATTTTTCAAATCTTAGGATATTTTGGATTATCTTACAAACATGAATAGAAACGCGAATAGGAACCGCAGTGAGCAGAAATCACTTGTGGAAGGACACACTTTCTCTGTACCAAGTATTACAGGTAACCCATTCACACCTGAGTTGGTCAGTGCTGTGCATTCACTCCCTAGTTTTCAAGCTAGCCTCGGGGAAATAACGGACTAACTTAGGACAATCAGAAATCTCACCGAGGAAATAAGCGATATCAAGAAAGACTTGTGGGAAGAAGAAGGGTTCGATCATAGAATCAAATTGATAGCTCATCAGCAAGTAGATGGAGAGGATGAGCTTCAGCAACTGGGACAATAGAAAAGGTTACTCAAAGAAGATGTCAACATGTTGAAAGCCATCGTGATTAATCTGGAGAGAACAGTAATTAAAAATCAGAATGAAATTATCGATCTCAAATCGAGATCAATGAAACGAAATATTTTGATTCATAATCTCCCTGAAGAAGACGGCGAGAATCTATTTGTTAAAATTCTTGAGCTTATCAAGACGCATTTCAAAGTAGATACTTCTTTCACAAATATTCACAGAGACGGTCCAAAAATGCAAGGAAAGCCAAGAACCATCACTGGGAGACTCAACAAATTTACAGATAAAGACTTGATCTTGCAGGCACAGATGGAGAAAAAAAAATCAACGCACAGAACAAGCAGAGGAAATTGACCAGAATTTTTCTGGGCAACACAATTCAACATTCTTCATTACGCCACAAACTCCAATTGAATTGTCAGAAAATCGAAAGAAACTGTTAGAGTTGAACAATAAATACTGGAGAGCTAACTTTAAGACACGCATTGTGGGAGAGAAACTTGTATTCCCAAACGGAAGTATACATAGAGATAAAGTACAGAAACCAAAGGCAGAACAAATCCTTGGAATGGATCTAGCAGGAAGAGAGGCGCTGAAGAAGATTAAAGTGACGGAGTTGGAAACGAATGAAGAGGAGAACATCTTCCGAGGGATGGGGGCAACAACGGAGTGCTATAACCAAGTGCGCGACATGTACAAGAAAACATTCTGTGATCAATCCTATGCCAAAGCTGATCACAACATACTTGTTTACAGATTTGGGAGATTCAAGCGGACAAACTCACGAGGGATACAACGATGATGGTGAGTTCGGCGCAGGGCGTTGATTAATTAAAATATAGAAGAACTTACAAGTCACAAATATGACAGTTGTTATATTGCGTTTTCAAGCGGTCGCCGATTCGAAATTCCGGAAAATCTTCTGACTGACGTGGTTCTGCGACACACTAGTCATTGAGTGTGTACATGATGTGCATATAAACTTCCCATTCTTTTATTAAATTAATCAAATTGCTTCAAAATCATGCAGTACTGAGAGCATGTATATATGTATATGTTGCTTAATAATTGACTATTTGGAATATTTCAACCACAAACTCATATTTTAAGGAGTTGCGCTATATTGGTTGTTACTTTATTATTTTGATATTAGATAATTATGTATACCAACACCCCCCCCCCCACCCCGATGTTTTAAATCGTTATTCATAGAACAGATCATTGTTAGGCAGTGATATTAACGGTACACTGCATTATTCATACTTTTTTTCACTGATAAAGTAGATATTGTTTTTATTATGCTCTGTCTAATATTTGTGATGAGTTTCTTTTGCATTACCCGAATTTTTTTTCCGGAAAATGTTACGCCTTCTGGATAGGTTTTTATTTTTCATAACACGAAAGTAAACTTCTGACTTAGACTAAGAAAGGAAGACTATATAACTTTTTTTGGTCTTCTAGCACCTTTTCAAGGTATGTTCTTTGTTACTTTTTGTAAATATTTTTATTTTATTTTCTTTGTTCCTTTCCTCATGATACTTGGCTCTGCAACACAATATATTAGTTTGCCACACAGTTGTAGCATTGCAGTAACATTACATGTAGAATATTTTTTTTCAATTTTGATGTCGTTTGAATTATCGTGTATTTCACTTAATGTTAGAGGGCTCTGCTCAAAAATTAAAAGAGTATTTTTACGTGGCTAAAAAATTCCTTTAAGAATAGTTTTATATATTGGCAAGAAACACTTTCAATCTTACAAAATGAAGGTCACTGGTTAAAGGATTGGGGTTCTATTATAGAATTCAGCCATGGAGAATCCAATAGTATGGGAGTAGCTATTCTTTTTCCGCATCCAATTATAGAGACAATATTTTAGCTGCTTTAGAAGATCTTAATTTAACTGATATATGGAGAAAAAAAAACAGATAAAAATTATTACACATATTCATGTAAAAACCCCTTAATTCTATGAAGAATAGATTTTTTTATCCTCCCTTGTTTTGTCTCTCCTCATGCAAAGTCAAATATAAAACCTGCTATTAAAACAGATCATAGTGTTATATCCTTAACACTTAAAGGTGAAGCCCATCATAATAGAGGCCCTGTGTTTTGGAAATTTAATGTCTCATTATTTTGAGATGAGGAATTTGTGAAGAAAACAAAAGAACTCATCAATTGTTTAAAAGAGAAATATACAGATTTAGATGACCGTCTGTTAAAATGGGACACAATTAAATGTGAACTTTAAGGATTTATTGTTAAATATTCAAAATTAAAAGCAAGAAAAAGTAGACAGGAAGAAGAAACATTATTAAAAGAATTAGATAAACAAAATGAAATACTATCAGCTGATCTATCTGAAGAAAATATGACTTTATTAAATGAAATAAAAGAAAAACTAAATGCATTAACAGACTTAAAAACAAAGGGCATAATATTGTGATCTAAAGCAAAATGGTGTGAAGAAGGAGAAAAATCTCAAAAAAAAAAAAAAAAAAAAAAAAAAAAAAAAGATTTTGTCTTTAGAAAAAAGAAACTACAGAAATAAGTGTATAAATAAGTTGGTAGTTAATGATAAAATTATATTTGATAAAAATGAAATCCTCAAGGAAGAAGAAAGTTTCTTTGAAAATCTTTACTCAACTATTTTGAAAGAAAAAAAAAACTATCAAAAACATATTAGTCATTTTGTGGACTGTGAAAATATTCCAAAGCTTACTAAAGAAGATTCTCTAACATGCAAAGGTTTAATAAGTAGAGATGACTGTGAAAATATCTTAAAATAATTTAAATCAAATAAATCTCCAGGAAGTGATGGACTTCAATTTGAATTTTATAAATACTTTTGGCCTGAAATAGCAGACCTAGTGGTAAATAGTTTGTGTGAAAGCATTTAGAAATTATCTCTTTCTTCAGATCAAAGAAAAGGAATCATTACTCTTGTACCTAAAAAAGACAAAGATCGAACTTTATTAAAGAATTGGAGACCAATTTCTTTACTGAATTTTGATTATAATATATTAGGAAAATTTCCATCAAGTAGAATTAAAAAAAAACTCCTGCCTTATATAGTTGATGCTGATTAAACAGGTTACATTGAAAATAGATATATAGGAGAAAATATAACAAATATTGCAGATCTTATTGACTCACAAGTATAAGGAATATTCCTGGACTTATTTTGTTAGTAGATTTTGAAAAAGCTTTGATACAGTTGAATGGTTAGATAAAGTATTAGAAATTTTTGGATTTGGCAAAGGGTTACGGCAGTGGGTACGTATCCTATGCTCAGGCATTACAAGTTGTTTATAATGGGTATTCTTCCTCCTTTTTCAAGATTTCTCGAGGTGTTAGACGAGGATGTCCTTTACCACCTTATCTACTTATCTTATGTGTTGAATTAATGGCTATTGCAATCCGATCAAACAAAAATATTCGTGGTATAAGAATTGGTGAAACAGAATTTAAAATAAGTCAATTAGCAGATGACATCACTTGTTTCTTCAGTGATGAAAAATCGGGCTTTGAAGTATTGAGGATCATCCAAAATTTTAAATACTGCTCTGATTTAAAGATCAATTTAAATAAAACAGAAGCCATATGGATTGGTAGCTGTAGGAATTTTCCTCCAGGTAGTTAACCAGTAACCCAGATAGCAAGACTACATCGGGCCAACGTTGGTTGATGGTTGGTAGGTTGGTATAGTGTTGGCGTTGGGCGGTAAATGTTGGCCCAACATTGGCCCAACGGATGATATGTTGGCGTGAAAGCTGGTCCATCGGTGTTGGGTATGCGATGTTGGGCCAATGTTGGTCCATTGTAGTAAATGTTGGCATGAAACATGACCATTATATGTTGGGCATTTGATGTTGGCCCAACGTAGGTCCAACCAAGTAGATGTTGGCTTAAAACAAAGCCACTGTGTGTTGGGATGTTATGTTGGCCCAACATAGGGCCAACCAAGTAATGTTGACAAGAAACACATGAAATGTGTGTTGGGCATGTAATGTTGGTCCAATGTTGGCCCAACGTAGTAAATTTTGATGATAATGAGGTATTGATATGGCTTTCAACGTTGGCCCAGCGTTGGTTCAACGGAGTGAATATTGGTGTAAAATCAACTTTCATTAACATACATGTTGGTGATCTGTTAATTACACATATCAAATTTGTATCTTTTAGAACCAATTAAGCTTCTTTCAATAGAGACATCTCATCTTTCGTTAAAATATTATGAACAATGGATTATCTTAATAGCCCATTTATTAATAATTTACAGTGTATGTGTTAATAAAAATGAAAAATTATTCCAGAACCTAATTTATGAAAATAAGATTTTTAATACTGATTTATGTTTTTAATTTGTGTCCGAGACCATTGCAAATACATGTAGAAAGTTTTAATTATTCTGCACAGTATATAATTTTGTAGATTCTATATTTAGCATCATGGAACTTAAAGTGCTGAATTTTAGAGCTCCAAATAATTAGGTTAGTGGTGAAATCCACTGGCTCAGCAGGTGACTGGCCGGTTTCCTAGGAAACAGGCATCCTAATCAGCTCTGTTTCGTAAACTCGGAGTGGTCACATCTTATCACTTGCAACACTTGAACAAAGCATATACATGTGCGTGTCCGTTTTGAATCGCAAGACAGAGAAAATGGATTGTTTTAGCCCTTGAAATGTAAGTATAGTCGTTTTGGGTGTGATTGATAGAATTTTATCTCTGTGAAAGTTTTAACTTGAGCATAGTTTGTAAAATTGAACAAGTTATTCAAGAATTGCAATTTTCAAAATATGCATGTATATTTACTAGTAATCTGTTTAAGTTATAACTTTTAAGAGCCATTCTCTGTAACGACTTGAACATTTATATAGGAGCTGTGGCACGCATAGTCTCTGAATTTCTCCAAACTCTCTATGATAAAAGTCTTTGACACCGTTAACTCAAATCAGACAAAAATTGGTTGCTATGTGTCATGGTTACCATGACAACATGTCCTAAAGTTTGAAAAATGGCATTTTTCAACATGTTCAGAGTCCCCCAGTTAACGTTTGCAGCAAAGCAAATAAGTGGCAATGATTGTTTCTGAAAGTTGAAGGCCTGATGTCTTAAATGCATGATAAACATGTTTGGTATTTCAACTATTACATATTTCTATGGAAACAAAGTATTCAAAAGTAATAATTTTGCCCATTTAATTTTATGAAATTATACACTTAAGAATAAAAAAAAATTATAGGTTGAAATGTAAGCAAATTATAGACAAAAGATCCTTGTAACATATACCAAGGAAGAAATATGATATTTCTTATAGGTTGGCAATGGTTGCCATGGTTTTAATACCACAAAGGGATTTTGAATTCACTCTCTTAGTGTTTAAATCTAATCCTATCTTTTTAAAAAAGCATATTTCTATATAACTAATGATCAATTTTTAAAGACGTTCATGTGACCCAAATTTTCACATTTCAAAAAATTCAAATTCAATTCTTTAAATAGAGCGTTGCTATGGAAATAAGCCGAAAAAATATGCATAAAAATCTGAAAAATTTTCTGTTTCCTTGGATACGTACCCTTGTATGTAGATTCCCAAAACTTTTATGATTGATAATTATGAACAACTAACCTGACTTTCAATTTTGACTGCCACCCAATCTCTAACTGGATGCAAAAAGCTGGCACATAGGCTTTAATATTGATATGAAATTAACAAAATTGAACATTTTCCCTTCTTGGTTACCATAGCAACAGTGTTGTATTTTTCAACAAATGTTATCAATATATGATACTCAACTT